AAAAAAGATTTGCAATAGGATAAAAGACGTTTATGCACTAGCGTTCCAAAAGTGGAAGGTAGCGGTCAAGCGTGAGGGGGTCGAGCCACCTTAAGCGTTCCCTTTATGTGGTATATAGTACGTATTGTATGTTTGAGTGTACGGTGTTTGTTTGTTCCACAGGCACATCAGTGGGTGTTGGACAACATGAATACATGGGTTGAGAAATATCTCATTGCTGATAATAACCCACGCATAAGAAATGGTCAGTACCTTTTACCCATTCACTTTTCATCCCTCCCATTTCTCCTTTCCCATTTTCCTTTTCCCATTCTTCCCAATGTCTTCCCAAATACATTTCAATTTTGTTGAATGGTTATTGATATTAGATTATGCTTTTGATTCCAGCTTCAGCTTGTCTTCTTGTCTCGCTCGTTCCAAGCCATAGCTTCCGACTGAGCTTCAGGTATGATAGAAATACATATTTGCCGAGTAATGATRTGCAATGCTGTTATGATGATGATGGTGATGACGATGATGATGACAGTGCCCGTGATGATGATGATTGATGATGGTGATACTTGATAACAATAATGATGACTAAACATGAAGATGATAGATGTTAACTATGATGATGATGCTAATATGATGGTGATGAATTATGGTGAAGATGACGATGATGCTAATAAATGATGATGAAAATGACGATGGTGATGAATTATGGTGAAGATGACGATGATGCTAATAAATGATGATGAAAATGACGATGGTGATGATAATGATGATGATGATGCTACTGATGAATATGACGATGATGCTAATAATTAATGATGATAATGGTGGTGGTGATGATGATGATGATATGATGACGCTGATGATAATGATGATGTTGGCAGTGATGGTGACACATGTATTTGATGTTTTCATCAGAACTCGTAGCTTCACCACGCCCCAGAAAGACCTTCAGGTATGTTCACACTATACCATACAACCGCTCAACATAACCTGTCTTTATCATCTACAACAGTTCACTAATATTGTACATTTCTTCTTACAGTTAAGCGAAGAAGCTAAAGCTGTACTACATAAGGTCAGAAAAGAAAGTGGTATATCTATTGTCATCTATATTTGCTTGCAACATTTCATTTATAACATGCTAACATGCTCTTATCTTATCAGATCTTCAAAGCTCTTCTTGAACTACTGTCCCCAGCTAGGAATTACTGTGGTAAGCATCGTTACATTCCTTAAGTTTTTTTGTTTACTACAATATCTTTAATTGAATCTTGTTATCTGCTACAAATGGTGGTCAAAGAAAGATGGTTATAGCAGTGTATAGCAGCGTATAATGGCAGTGTAGTATCGTAACTATTCATTATGATTATATTTGCAGACCGTACGATGCAGGGCACTACAAAACTGGTCAGTTACTTTGCTGTGCTGAACTACTTTCTTGTATCAAGAAACGAGAAAGAGATGGTAAGTCGATAGATTCTCGTCTATCTACAATCTGGGACGAGAATGTTGAGAAAATTTCAGTTCTAATGAAAATTGTCATGAAAACATAAAAAATTCCCCTTAAAACGATCCCCTTTCCCCCCCCCCCCTCCCCCCAGAGACAGGGCTCTTGTACCTACTGGAAGTAACATCGTAATGTGTCCTTGAAGTCTCATATGAGACTTGGCAGCTCAGTGGTTAGAGCATGACACCGGAATCTTCGAGGCTCGGGTTCAAATCCCATTCAAGACATTTTTTCTGGGTCTTTCAATTTGCAGCTGCATAAGTTGCTTCATATACTGCGAGGATCAGCTCAATTTGATAACAATTATGTGTTGTTAACCTGATATTTATGTTATGTTCCAGGTAAGACAGTATTTACCAGACCTGTGGAGGTTATTCCACCCGATAATGTCAGAACCAAACATCTCAGTCCATCACAACAAACAGGTGACCTTGATTTTTATACTCAATGATTATCCTTGATTTTTATAGTTCAATGATTATCCACGAAGCTTTCCGTCATGGCGGCCCATCTTCGGGGCTTTTAACCTTCATAATAATTTGCTTTATCGAAGGACTGTTAGTGTTGATGTTGCTCCTACATCTTGCTGTTACTGCTGTTACTTTTGTCGTTGCTACTTTTGCAGTTTTCGATGCTGTCGTTGTTGCTACTGCTGCTGCTGTTGCTACTGTTGTCCACGTTTCTACCACTGCTGTCGTTGTTGCTACTGCTGCTGCTGTTGCTACTGTTGTCCACGTTTCTACTACTGCTGTCGTTGTTGTTGCTGCTGTTGTTGTTGCTACTGTTGTCCACGTTTCTACTACTGCTGTCGNTGTTGCTACTGTTGTCCACGTTTCTACTACTGCTGTCGTTGTTGTTGCTGCTGTTGTTGTTGCTACTGTTGTCCACGTTTCTACTACTGCTGTCGTTGTTGTTGCTGCTGTTGTTGTTGTTATTGTATTTTATTTTGGATACCTTACCTTGTTGCTAAAGTTAATATTGTTTTTCTCTGTGCCTAATCCAGGCGCTATTGATCTTCTGGTTCCACGCCTGTCAGGACTGTGAAAGCAATGTAGCCTTTATCACAGACACACCTCAAGTGGCTTCTAACATCGCTCTCAACTATATCCTGTATGTCTCTTATCCTTTGATGATGTTTTTAAACATTACTTGTTACTAAAGTTACTGTGCTACTAAATTTAAGCTCAAGTCAGAGCACTCTTAGTACTTACTGTGACAAAAATAAAAATATTAGTGACAGTGTGAGGCTCGTGTGTTCACGCCTGTGCGCAAAAATCTCGGTCACAGATGCACAGTATTTTACTAGTAAAGTCAAGCGAACTTTTCTCTAAGATTTTCGTCAATTATTTATTCTTGTACATCGAATTAAAGTTTTGCATGAAAAATTGCTGAACGAAGTATTTTCTCTCTCAGTTCTAGCGACGAGCCGGAAGTAATCAACTTCAACCGCAACGTGTTACCTGCATATTATGGTCTACTTCGATTGTGTTGTGAATACTCTTGCAGATTTACGCGTCAATTAGCTAACCACTCTAACATGCGATGGGCCTTTGAACACCTGACGTCACGTGTCAATCATTATCCACAGGTATCCCATCTTGTATATATATAGTCGGTTGCCCTGTAGCTTGGTCGGTTTGGTCGGGTGGCCGGTGTTTCAATTTGATGGTTGTTTGGTCATTGATGGCCAGTTGAAATTTGATTGGTCAGTTGACTGTTCGGTTGGTTTGTTGACAGGTCGGTCTAGAATGACTGGTCTAGGGTGGCTGGTCGGCTAATAAATCTCTACCCTGGGCGATTTTTTTTTCACATTTCAGACCACGTTTCATTCAATTGAGAATAATATATTTTGTTTGAGTTGTATCCATATTCACGTGTGCCTTCTCGTGCATAACTGTTAAACCAATAAAATTATCCTCAAGAGCATGACTCGTGGTTTTAAATGTGAAAGCCTAAGGTAAAGTGGTCTTTTCTTCAGTTGATCCCACTATCTCTCGTCAGTTGGTTGGTTTTCATAGTTTCTGTTTTTCCATTCTTTCTCATTCTCAAGGCTATCGAGGAGCTGTTTGCCCTCATGCGGCTGTTCTCTGGCCAAGGTCATCCCAACCTCACATCAGAAGACAAGGCTGCTGCCGCTGCCTTCAGAAAGTCAACTATCATGTTATATCTGAACTGCTTGGATGGGGTATCACACTGGACTACTCTGATCACGTGAGTCGAGCATGCTTTCAGTATTATATTCGGAGTAAAGTGATAATATTTGTGTGTGTGTGTGTTTTAGGGCGTTCAAAATCCTGCTGCAAACTGAGGAGGACCGTTTAATCGTGTTGGTCAATCAAGGCTTGTTAACGTTGTCTGATGTAAGTACTCGACTCTATACTATAGTATATCCTTATATTATCTGCAGGACAGCGTGCGCTATACTTCAACACCTTACAACTGAAGCACAACAACAACAAAAAATAAATAGATAAAATACACCAGAATTTACGTCATTCTCTTCTCCACTCCGCTTCACTCCACTCCACCACACTCCACTTCCTCCCCACTCACTTCAACTCTTCTCTACTCTACACCACTTCCAATCCACTCAACTTCGATTCCATCAGTCCAACTCCTCTCCACTTCACCCCACTCTACTTCATTCCACTCTATCACACTCCACTCCACTCTACTCTATCACACTCCACTCCACCCCATTTCACTCTTTTTCACTCTTATCCATCACACTCCACTCTACTCCATCACACTCCACTCCACCCCATTTCACTCTTTTTCACTCTTATCCATCACACTCCACTCTACTCCATCACACTCCACTCCACTCCATCACACTCCACTCCATCACACTCCACTCCACTCCACTCCATCACACTCCACTCCATCACACTCCACTCCATCACACTCCACTCCACTCCATCACTCTCCACTCCATCACACTCCACTCCACTCCACTCCATTACACCACATCAAACAAATAATTAAGCCACTTCACTATAATCCGTGCATCACACTCACTATTTTGTTTTGCAAGATACTTATGTATCCTCTAACTTGTTCCCAGGCTATCACGACCCTTCACTTGATGTACCACGAGGCTACAGCCTGTCACGTGACTGGTGATCTACGAGAAGTGCTTAACATCTTAAAAGAAGTCTTACTAAGTTCACAGAGTCACATGGAAAATGCAGGTAAGGACGGATCTGTGAACTTCATTCTGTAGGTGGTGTGTATCTCTTCCCATGAGAATCAAAGGACAAAAGAGATGGTCGCCATGTTGGTTGACATGACAGAAGAAACCAAGACCTAAAGTTAACCAACATGGCGGTTATGACGTCATGCACAAGGACAAAAGACATGGCCACCATGTTGGTGGACGTGATAAGAGAAACCAAGTCCATATCTTTTGTTAAATTCATCCAACATGGCGGCCATGAACTACGTTGCCTGGTAGATAAATCAGAAGACCTACATTGACTGTGTTTTAATGGTTTCAGAGGTCCGTAGCAGTATCGTGGGATGGTCAGATAAGATGGAAATAACACAAAAACTGCTCTCACTGTTGAATTCCTACACACCTAAAGACTTGCATGTATCGTGCTTGGGTGAGTAAAGAGTATACCATAGGAATATTATATCATGCATCATTACTGATCGTCACGGTCACGCAACACGGTCACGCAACACGGTCACGTTACGGAGTCCATGATATCCATTCAACCAATCATAGCGCTGCAACACTGTGACACTGCTTTCACTGCACGCCACGTTCGTAATATGAGTTTTTCAATATCTTTTAAATTTGTCAAGTCGACTTTTTTTTGGAAAACTAAAATTTTAAAACCAACGTTGAAACCTGAGTACATCCCAATGTAAAACGGGAGAACCTACATAGCACTAAGGTGATGTAATGTATTCAGAAAATCTATTGTATTCTATTGTCTATCTATGGTATTGCGTGTGATTCATTGCATATTTATGAATACATTACATCAACTGCTTGCTACGTAGGCTCTCCCAATGTAAACCTGTCTGTTACTGCATTCTTATGTATACTGATAATCTATGGGGTTTTCCCCCAGATGTATTACGAGCAATACTCTCTCAGTACCCCAGTGAGTGCGCGGAACTATTAATACCAATGATCCACCAGTCACACATTAGATGGCACCAGAGTAACCAACAGCCGACACTCGGTCCTTACTTCCCTCGACGACACACCAAGGTTATAGTCAGTAGCAAGACTTTACCTCGTCCGTCTGTCCCTGAACTAAACATGTTCTTACATCCATCGTACCTCGAGATTCCCAAGGTATGTTATCCACAGGGTGACCAATAATGGCACAAAAATCTAGATTGGGATCCCTGTGATATATCGCTTAATTCTTTGGAAATATTTTTGCATTGTCAGGCAATCTTGGTGCCAATTGTTTGAGGACGTTGATTGTTGTTTATGCGCTACCTATAAAGCTTGTTTGTTGGGTTTGATTTCCTTTCATTTGATGTTACTGATGTTTCTAAATGTTAAAGTGTATATCAAGGAAAAAAATTATTTTCAAAATCACTTATATGTAAACAATGTAGTAGTGTGGTTGCAATATTTTTGTATAAGGAGTTTTCTTTTCGGAGATATAAACATCTGAAATATAAACCATAGATGATAATGCATTTATCGATGATATGTTTTCTTGACTGTAAATCAGGGAGTAGACGAAGCGTACGACAAGGCCATGTCTAGCTACTTCCATCCGTATCATTTCTTTTTGGATAAGCTTATCAGAGTAGGGTTCAACCAAGATCGTGTCAGTGACACATGCATTAGTCTAAGTAAGTATGCTTGGTACTTAGGGGCACAGCTGCATGAAAGTTTGTATATTTATTTTTTCATCATTAACCAACACATTTGTTAAGGCTGATTCTCACTAGCTACGGAATCGGATGCAGCCAAGAGAATGTGAAGTATTCTTCATATTCTCTTGGCGTAGCTTATAACGAGGTGAAAATCAGAAAACGGAGTCGTAATTAGCCAGAAGCACGTCAGAATTCAAAGAGGAAGGATAGGAAGGATTCCTCTTTCTTGGTTTCTCGTCACTTCGAGTTTCATTTCCAATCCCAACGCAAGTTGAAAACCAGCCTTAAAGTGGTGATACAATCCCTGATGCAATGCTTTCAGTATTGTATTGTTTCAACTTAAAGTGACTGATTAGTCGAATGGTGAAATGGTGAAAATTAGAAGTACAAACATTCATATCTTCAAGACACAAATAAATAAATATTAAGGTGCACTATAAACATATCCTAATCTTCTTTACTACCCAATACAGGTTGTTTACTAGCGATAGAAGCAATACCTCTGCATTTTAACTTCTTTTCCAAACTCTGGATGGACGTGTACCAGAAGTCAGGGGAGGTAAGAATACCTTTGCACGATATCATTGCTCTTGTCGTACAGTAAAGAATTGCGATGCAGTTGCACTAAGATGCGGTTGTGCTCGAAATCGTTACTACAGTCGTTGCAACGAGTACACGAAAATTGTGGCAACGTTGCAACTAGAATGCGCGACAAGTTTTTGCAATGTTTTATTGCAACAAAAATGTTCTGCTGGTGCTGCTGATAATGATAATGTTGATAATGATGGTGATGATGATAATGGTGATGGATGGCGATGATGGTAGTGATGAGGATGATGGTCATGATGATAATGGTGATGATGATAATGGTGACGATGATGATGATAGTGATGATGATATGAAGTTATAGTGCTTTTTATTTCAGCACGTTAAATATAAAGACTGTATTCAAAGAATCTGCCAAAGACCAGAATTCATCGAGGTAAGCCAGTTTTTAATCCACAACGTTAGGACAAGGACAATCGTTTGACTCGTACTTTTTCTATGCTATCCACAGTACATCGATTCCATTCTATTGGAGGAGCGAGAATGCCTGAATGTACAAGAGATTTACTCGTTTCTGTGCTGTTTGTTTCCTAGGGTAAGTATGATAAATGTCGATACGTGATGATGGTGATGGTGGTAGTGATGTTAATACATAATGTCTATGCATGATGATGATGATGATTCATGATGATAGCGATGATAATGCATGTCTGTACATGATGATGATGATAATACATAATGTCTATGCATGGTGATGATGATGATTCATGATGACAGTGATAATAATGCATAATGTCTGTATATGATGATGGTGATGATAATACATAATGTCTATACATGAAGATGATGATGATACATTTCTATACATCATGACGATGATGATTACACATTAAAACATCGATAGAGGTGGTACTTGGGTAACTACTGTTGCATCTGTTGGTAAGGATTAATAATTTTCAACTGCATTCTGGTGTTGATAATAATGATATTGACAATGAAAATGATGATTGACACTTTAATGACACGTTTGATGTTTCCTTGCGTGTCCAGGTTCATACTGTAGTGTTAAAGAACCAGTGGAAGACCCTAGTTCACACATTAGTAGCAGCAGTCATAGCTGACCAGCCTGCCGCTGCTAGAGCTAATGACGAAGAGCTTTTGCAGATCGCTCGACGCATTACTGCGGTGGGTTATACTCATATATTCATTACCTGTTTTTATAATGCACCTTCAAACCTTTCGCTCCACGCAGTGCTAATCTGAGTATTCAGTCTCCAAAATAATTTTCCTCCCCCCCCCC